CAGCCCCGCCGGGGACCGACCCTGGGTGGGGGTGTGGGGGGGGGGGCGGGGCGGCCCGGGCCGGCGGGCGGCGGGGGCGGCCCCCCGCCGCCGCCCCCCCCCCCCCCCCCCCCCCCCCCCCCGCCCCCAGCAGGTCCGCAGGCCCTGGTGGAGGCTTTGGCATTCCAGGAAGGGGGTCCCCTGAGGCCAAAGGCTTGGAGATGGCAGTGGGCCTAGAGGAGGAAGGGAAGCCCCCAGACAGCTCCTTGTGGGAGGGTGAGGAGGTCAGTCCCCATCCCCCTCCATCCCCAACCCCGCCCGGTGCTGGGTGCAGAAGGAAGCCCCAGTCAGTCACCCAGGAAAGGAGTGAGAGTGAGCCCAGGGAACCGGGAGCGGGGCTTGGCACAGGCAGGGTGGGCTTCCTTGAAGACACCAGAGCCAGGGCTCTGGGCCAGGGTCTCATCAGCCACAGAAGCAGTGGGTTACAGGCTGGGTGTGGCGGAGGAAAGCCAGGTTAGGCCTCAAGTGGGTAAAGAGGGTCCAGTAGCTGAGGTCAGCCTTTGAAGCCGTGTGGACAGCAGGATTTGGGTGTGAAGGGGTGACCCCGGGCCTCACTGGCCGCAAGTTAGGGCCTGCAGCGGGTCAGGGCTAGCTGGTTTGGCCTTGGCCCTGCCCCAGCCAGTCCTCGGGGGCCTGGGAAGGACACGCAAGATCTGGCTCCGAGTGAGGACGTGCTTTTCTGCTCTCCCCTGCTCTGCCTTGCGTGTCCCGACACCCCTCTTCTGGCTCCCCACCCCACCATCCTTCTGGCCTCCGGGCCCCAGCGCACAGCCAGCATCCCCAGCGTCCTTCCGGACGGCCTCTCCCGTCCTGGCCCAGTGTCTGAGGTGCGGAGGATTCAGTGGTTAACTCTGACTTCTCCTCCTTGGTGTGGGGTCTCCCCAGCTCCTCTGCATCTGCCAGAGCCCTGGCTCCAAGGCCCCGCTGTGTAAAGCCGTGTTCTCCCAAGCAGTCTCACGCCCCCACCCCCGCCAAAACCTCTTCAAGAGCAACTCCGTGTCTTAGTCCATGTGGTGGGACAATTCTGCATCAGATCTGCCCTCGGGGATGCCCTCCCGCTGGGGAGACAGAGCTGGACAGAGTCCAGCCCCCTGTGGCCAGGCCGGGACCAGAGGAAGTGAGAGGGCTTAGGGCGGCCCAGAGATGAGCCAGGAAGGCATCCTGGGGGAAGAAGGTGAGAACTGGGCTTTGTAGAATAAATAGGAGTGCCAGGGATCAGAGACATGGGGCCGTGGCAGAAATTACGTTTCAAACTTTGGGGAGGAAATGGAGCATGACGCTTCGGGAAATTTCGAGGAAGACAGATGCGGTGGAAAGAGGATGTGGAGCTGGGCTCCAGATGTGGGGGGACTTGAGGGACACGACTCCCTTCCCACTTCCTCTGCCCGAGATAACAGGGACAGCGTCCTTTCTGGGAACCGGCCATGGCAGGCGTCAGAGAGGGGCACTTGCCCCGCTCTGAGTCTGGGCAGCACCACAACTCTGCAAGGCAGTGTGGGAAACTGACGGGCGCCCGGCCGGCTCCGTCGGTAGAGCACGAGACTCCTGATCTCGGGGCTGGGAGGTCCAGCCCCATGTTAGGTGTGTGGAGAGCACTTAAAAACACAGACTCTTGGGGCGCCTGGGTAGCTCAGTGGGTTAAAGCCTCTGCCTTCGGCTCAGGTCATGATCTCAGGGTCCTGGGATGGAGCCCCATATGAGGCTCTCTGCTCAGCCGGGAGCCTGCTTCCCCCTCTCTCTCTGCCTGTCTCTGTCTACTTGTGATCTCGTCTGTCAAATAAATAAATAAAATCTTAAAAAAAAAGGATTAAAAAAAACCACATAGAATCTTAAAAAAAAAAAAAAGAAGGGGAAACTGAGGTCCAGAGGGAAGAAATGAGGCATCTAAGGGCACGTGTGGGGTGAGATTTGCACACAGCTCTGGCTTCCGGCACCTCCCCGCCTCCCTCCCAGCCCCGCCCCTCACAGTCTGCTAGGGAGTCTCGGGAGGACCAGATGGTGAGAACAGAGGCCAGGCTCAGGATGCGCCCCCCGGGGCTGGTTTCCGGTGGGGGCCAAGCAGGGAGGATCTATTCTTAGCCTCGGAAGCCCAGGGCAGGAAAAGGATGGGGTGGGGGTTGGGGGCAGCTTAAGGCACTGGGTGGACCCTGGGTCAGGAGGGTCGGGGCCAAGGGGTGCCTCCAGCCCACCTCAAGGGTGGCCCCTGACACCCAGCTCACAGCCCTGTCCAGATCACCCACCCTCTCTGGCTCCCCAAGGCCCTGGGAAGAGTCCAGCCCCTGGGCTTGCTGTCACCGCGCTGGCCCCCTTTCCGTGGGCCTGTCCTCTGCCCAGCAGCCACGCGCTGCCTCGCCCAGTCCGGCTCCTGCGCCCCATCTCTGGGAAGCCTTCTGCGTGACTTCTGGGGCCCCCGAGACCCAATGCCTCCCCCTGCTGCAGCCTGACCCCGTGGTCTGGGGTGTCTGGGCCCAGCCTCCGCCCTTCAGACTGGGTATCCCGGCTTAAACATGCACCTGGCGAGCCACACTGTTTCCCCTCCTGGTGCAGCTGCCTCCCTTGGGGTCCACACCCTGCCAGGACTGCAGAAACGGAGGAGTTGGGACTCTCCTGGGAGCAGGTGGAGAAACTGAGGCTGGGACACGGGCGGCGAGCTGGGAGGTGGGATTCCCCTAGCTCTAGGCCCTAACCTGACCACCACTGTCTAAGCTTGAAGATGTGGGTCTCTGCGAGCCTCAGAAGCACCAAACGGACACAGACAACATTGCGTGGAGCTGGACGGTGCCCGGACACAGCTGCCACCGTACCCAGCCTGTGACCAAGCGCCAGGCTACGCTGAAGGGCCTCCTGGGTGTGCCCCAGACTCAGCCCCGCACCCGGGGGCCTGCTCTGCGCGCAGTGACAGTGTAGCGGCCCAGATGTCACCTGGTACCAACTGCGTCGACACACGCAAGATTCGAAGGTTGTCCCGGCAGTCAGCGCTCGAAGAGTGACGTGCATCAGGGTGGGGTAGGGGCAGGACATGCTCCGTGTGCCTCCGTGTGCCGCCCTGCCCCGCACCAGGCTGCTGTGGGTGGACCAGCTGCCGCCCCGGCTCGCAGCTCGGAGGCTCCTCGACCAGACCCACGTCCCCGCTGCTGCTGTGGGCGCGTGAGGCGGGGCAGGACAAAGGAGAGGCCGGGCTGCGCCAGGTGCTCCTGGGATAGGACTAACACAGGGCTGGGGGCGCCCGGTGGCCCGGGGATGGTCAGTCTGGGCCATGGACACCGGGTCGGACGGTTCCCTGTCAGGAGGGTGGCCTAGGCACTGTGGGGGGCCGAGCAGCGTCCCTGCCCTGCTTCCTGGCCTAGAGCTCCCCGTCCACGTGACCGCAGACCGCCATCCCCTGGCCTGGGACAGCAGCTCCTCAGCCCCCAGCATCTGCGCTCGAGCCGGTCGGGCACCCCCAGGGGGACGGGAGGCCGTGGGCAGACAAAGACCAGGACACCTGCGGATAGCAGGATGCTTCCCTAGGGACGGCCACGGACGAGTTTTAAGCGCTGCGGTTAAAGGTCTTCTGGCCCTGGCTGTGCTGTGTGTCCTGCGCCCACAGAGGACGGGACAATGTGACTGCCTGTGGTGGCAGGGCCTGGGACTCCAGACTGTCTGCGCAGCATTTTCGGAACTCTGGAAATATTCTAAAATAAAGTGTTTATTAAAAAAACATGCAACTTCATGAGTAGACCAATTCGATGAAAATAAGACATTTCCCCCCACCTAAAAAAAGTCATTTTAGAGAAACAACCTAAAATGTTTCCAGATGGAACAGGGCACGTGGGTGTGGCCCCCAGGGGAGCCGGCACCGAGGTCACCCCGCTTCGGGTGGAAACCGTCTCCGGAACCAGGTGTCAGAAGCCACGGTCCTGGGGCCGCGTGTGGGGGTGGGGGGGCCGCACCTGTCAGCCCCGCAGCCGAGCTCGGCCACGTGCAGGACACCAGGGCAGTCTCGGGCTGGCCGGGCGGCGGCCTCCAGGAACGCAGCTGTCCCGACA